TATTGTACAAAGTGAGGCACTGTTGGTGTTGCTGTGGGTTGAAGATTTGAGTCATTCTTCTCATGAAGTTGGTCATGTTTTGTGACAAAATCAGACTTGATTCAGTACATACTCAGGAGATAGCAGAGTTTTTGCTGTATGATTAGAGAATCACTTTTTCTGCTAAGACCCACAAAACTGGTGGAAAGAGTTCTCTGCCCTGCCCTGACTATTGGTAACTTCAGGGAGACCCTCATTTGCACACTCACCAACATCCACAGTCAGCTTTGAGTCTGCTGGACCTCCCATAACATAGGTCTTAATCAAAGACCAACCAATGCTATTTCCATCACCAGTGAAATGACAAATCTATCAATCACATCTAATTTCCTTCTTAGAAACCGCCTGCTCAACAGGTCTCAGAGATTCAAGTCAAGGTGTTTCTATGACCCACGTAAAGAAGATCCAGTGGGTCCTTTTGTAGTTCAGAAACCCCACATACAGGGTAAATATCTATAGGAGCTTGACTCTCAGAAACAACCAAATTCCACTCTTTGTTCTCAACCTTTGAGTATAAACTTCTTGGCCAGCAGTTGCCTGATTTTGACAACAGAATGGAAGAGATCCCAAGGACTGACCCCACCAAAACCTCTGAGATTGGTTGTCACCTGCCCCTTGGTACCAGATTTTTTTCTTCCATAGCTTCCCAACACTGGCTTCTGACCTGCCTCCAAAATCCAGAAAGATTTTTTACCCAGGCTCTAGAATTATGGGAGTAGACCATGGCTGAACCAGATTCTTAACCCTGACCTGTTCCATTTCACACCACAGTTGCAGAGACTGTCAGTGCTTCACATGGAGAGAATACCTTAAGCAGCTTCAGCTATGAGTCTGTAAAAAATACAGCTCCCTGGACCTCACCTCAGACCTACTGAATAAGAGTCTTTTCAGGTGAAATCCAGAAATCTGAAACTCCCTCTCCCTGTGATGAAGAGGCAGCTAGCTCATTGCCAGACTGTGGACTGGCATTTGGAGATCACTGTACTAGAGAATGTGGAAGAACTATGCTATCCAGAGAACCAGTGGGTACTAACAAGGTGGATGCCTATTATAGGAGCTTCAGATCTAACCCTAGAGCAAACAGGAAAAATGTCACACAGGTAGTGCTCTAACCGTATATGATGGAAAGTCATCCTGTGTACCTCCAGACAAGCCCTAGAAGTGACAGACTTTCCAAGAACATTGCAGCCTGTATTAATTTAGAGAGTCATTGAACTAACTACCTTCCAGGGTTTTCATGAACCAGCGATCCCAGAGACCCTATCTGGAAGTATTAGAGAACATGTTTTAGGCTGGGATTTTGCAAACTTATAAGACGAGGGAACAACTTTAAAATTCATGTGACCGGGCTTGGTGGCTCAGCCTATAATCCTAGCACTTTGAGAAGCTGAGGTGAGTGGATTGCCTGAGCCCGCAGGTTTGAGACCAGCCCGGGCAACTTGGCGAGATCTCGTCTCTACAATAAAAATCACAAATTAGTGCACGCCTGTAGTTCCAGCTACTTGGAAGGCTGAGGTGGAAGGATCGCTGGAGCTCAGCAGGTCGATGCTGGGGTGCCGTGAGTGTGTCACTGCGTTCCAGCCTGGGCAACAGTGAGACTCCAAATCAAAATAAATATATATACATATCATCATGCACTGCTAAGTCATGAATAGGCTCTCAGGAGATGTAAGGTATGTGCAGGTTAAAATAAACAGCAAAAATTGGCTCATGGATAAATCACACAAAGAATAATCAAAATCTTATTCACATGACTTTTTTTTGAGTTGGAGTCTCACTCTGTCGCCCAGGCTGGAGTGCAATGGCAAGCTCACAGTCACCGCAGCCTCAACCTGCTGGGCTCAGGTGATCCTTCCACCTCAGCCTTCCAAGTAACTGGAACTACACATGCCCAGCTAATTTTTTTATTTATTGTAGAGACAAGGTCTAACCAAGTTGCCCAGGCTGGTCTCAAACCCCTTGGCTCAGGCAATCCTCTCACCTCAGCCTCCCAAAGTGCTAGGGCTACAGGCTTGAGCTACCATGCCCAGTCTCACATGACTTTTTTTTTAAAAGAAAAACTTTATATTAGGAGGAAAAGAAATCAATTCGGAAAGTTAATTCATTTATTTTAACTAAATACTAAAACATTGCAAATATACAGTCAAGCTGTAGAGCATCATGCAGAAGCACATTCTCAGCTGGCAAGCGCAGTCATAGAAAAGTAAACAGAAACTACTAGTTAGAGGTTTATAGAGAAATACAGATAACTATGGAAACATGAAACAGGAATCCTAACATAGACTTCATACAGGGTCAGGAGTGGAAGAAGTTGTTTCAAAGCCAGAGTTAAAGAATGAGACAGGATTGGGCAGTCAAAACAAAATGAGAGGACAATTTCAGGCAAAGAAAATGGCACATGGAAAGGCCTTAACATAAAAAAGGCTGGGTCAAATTCAAGGAAAAACTGATAAAAGTAAAGTAGTATTGTTGGTGACTACGGTGCTGGAGAGGTCAGTACACAGTTTCAGTTTTGTTAAGTGTTACAGGGAGCTTTAAAAGGATTTTAAATAAGAATATGATATAACCAGATTCACAATTTAGAAAGATCATTTGGAGAATGAGTGAGAAAGGATAAAAGGACAATCATAAGGACACATAGGAGGCCATTGTGACCAGTGTTATGATGGAGAGGTTGGAGAGACAGAAAGAGAAGATACTAAGGAGATGGAATCAACAGCACTGGATGTGTGGTTTTATAAGGGAATGAAATAGAAAGGACATAACAGTGATACTCAGGTTGTGGGCAAACAAAGAAATAGGTTATTTGGGACCAAAAAAGGGAGAGCATCAAGGGGAGAGGAAGGTACTAAAAAGGAGTGGTCGGGTGCGGTGGCCCAAGCCTATAATCCCTGCACTTTGGGAGGCCAAGGCGAGAGGATTGCCTGGGACCAAAGGTTCGAGACAACCCTGGACAACTTGGTAAGACCTCGTTTCTACAATAAATCAAAAAATTAGCTGAGCGTGGTGGCATCAACCTGTTTCCCGCTACCTGGAAGGCTGAGGTGGAAGGATCACCTGAGTCCAGCAGGTCGAGGCTGTGGTGGCTGTGTGTGCCACTGCATTCCAACCTGGGTGATAGAGTGAGAAGCCAACTCAAAAATATATATATATAGAAAGGAGTGGTTAATAGGGGTACCCAGGAGACACTCAAATGGAGATGTTGAATGAAAATCTGAGCCCCACAGACATATGAGAGCTGTAGATATGGACTCAGTCATCTGCATACAGATGAGAAGTGAAGACATGGGAATGGATGAGATGCTCCCAGGAATTCTGTCAGAAATACCTGGATTTGAGTACCATACTGCTGCTTATTATTAATGTGGGACTGGAAAATTTAACTTTGCTGCTCTGGTTTCTCAAGTGCTTATTGGAGATAATGCTTCACAGTTATAGTGATGGCTAATGTGATGATGATTGCAAATTACTTACTCCAGAACATAGGGGAATCTCAGTAAACTCTAGCTATTATCAGTGCTGTTGAAGTTGTTACTACTGCTATTATTAAAAAACAAAAGGATAATAACATAGAGCCCCAATATTTACAATTAGGTAAGGGAGAAGCTGAGAAAGAAGAGACTGAGAAGGAGCAGATAGAAAGTTAGGAAAACCACAGCAGACAAAGAGAGAGAATATTTCAGGAAAGAAGTGGTCAAACAGCTAATAGGATCATCAAGATAAAAACTGAGACAGGCCCCCTGAATTTGGCCACAAGAAGGTCTCTGGTGTCCTCACAAGGAGGCAATTTGGTGAGATAGAAGGGCACAACTCAAGTTGCCAAGACTGGAGAGTGAGTCCTTTAAAACATTCAGCAAAGAATGGGAAGTGAGAAGAGGGAAGAGCTGCATGGGCTGTGCATCAAGTGAAAGTTTTTAAAGTAGAAGGAAAGTTAAGCATTGCTAGATGCTGATAAGAAGGAACCAGGAGACAAAGAGAGGGAAAAAATGAGGAAGCGAGGGGATGAGATCTAAGCAGAGGGAAAGACTTGGTCTTAGCCAGAATGAAGGATGATACCACCCCTGTCATGATAGGAGGAAAGAAGGTTAAGATGCAGCTAAGTTGGAGGTTTGATGGCATAAAGTTGAGGGAGTTCTGTTTTTCTCCACGAACCAGGAAATATAGTCACTGGCTTACTGCAAGAGGAGGCAGGGAACAGTCAGAAAAGATAGGGCTTATTTGACATCTCAGACTAGAAGAAACTGCTGACTAGAGAGACCATATGAATCCCAGGCAGCTCTGATGTTCCCCATCATCTCAAGCAGTCCAGATTAAAAAAAAAAAATTCAAATAGACTGCTTCAGATTGACCTAGGCTTGGGGTTTAGGATAAAAATGAGGGAGTGGCTACAATGGTAGACCATAGGTCTGACCCGGTTATGAAGAGAAGTATTCAGCCATAGACAAAGAGAAAGCAACCTGGACATCCAAATGAATCTCAAAGAGAGGGAGATGTTGAAAATGCCAATAAATCAAAAGTTGTGGTCAGAAAGTAGGATGAGACTTAAGATAAAGTAGATCATGAACCAAAGTCTTTGATGAATGTGTGTCTGGAGCTCAGTAGTCCTAGAAGTTAGGAGAGAAGGCGGTATGGCGGAATCCGGTGATGGAGGTGGGATGTTACAAAGTGGTGAGAAAGCAATGATGTAGAAGCACGTGAGGAGAAAAGACATGACACATTACCTTGAACCACTGGAGTAGGGTGGAATAAACAGCCTCCCCTGAAAGCATTGCAGGAGGATGGGTTCTGGGGAGGATCCCAGTGTGAGTTCAGGGAGGAACCAGAGAAAAGGGTGGGGGAAGCTGTTTTGACAATCAAGGTGGTATGATGGGAAGGACAGGGCCAGTGGGCAAGCTGTCACCTCTTTGTGGTTATGTCCACTCTCCTAAAAGTATAAATACTTCCTGAAGAAGAATGAGAAGATGGAATTCCCCTTTGGCTCCCTGGAAACTACCAACTTCCGTCGGTTCACTCCAGAGTCACTGGCGGAGATTGAGAAGCAGATTGCTGCCCAACAGGCAGCAAAGCAAACCAGAGGGAAGCACAAGGAGCAGAAGAACCAGGAAGAGAAGCCTCGGCCCCAACTAGACCTGAAAGCCTGCAACCAGCTGCCCAAGTTCTATGGTGAGCTCCCAGAAGAACTGATCGGGGAGCCCCTGGAAGACCTAGATCCCTACTACAACACACACCGGGTAAGAGCTACCAGTAGAAATGTCTACTCTCAGCTCTTATAGTGGAATTCTTGGTCCCACCCAACCCAGGAAGTCCTCTTGAACTCTGAGTGATGAGGAAGTTAGCTAAAAACTCAGTTAACAGAAAACATATCTAACTCACCTTTTTGGTGATCTCTTTGAATCTTTATGACCTTTACAGTAGAGGCTAATTAGACCCAAATCCCCAAAAGCAGATAACTGCTGTGGAGCTTGCAGGGAAAATTGGCTGTTCCTTTGGATGAGCTCTGGCCCAGGGCCTCCAGAGCTGTTGGCTTTCTTTACAGATGGAGAGCACAGATCTTGTGGTTGGGGGACAGGAATGGGAAGAAGGCAGAAAGAAAGCAAGATGGTTTAAGCCAGTGGTCCCCAGAGCATGATTTTGCCCGTGTGAGTCCCCAAAACCCTTTTAGTGGGTTCATGAAATCAAAGCTATTTCATAACAATACTTTAATATCATTTGTTCTTTTCACTCACATTCTTTTATGAGCACACAGTGGTGAACAGAGGCTGTTGATAGAGGATGACATCGTCACTAACAGCTACTGGAATTTGTGCCTATATATTCCTGCATTTGAAAATTGGTTTTAATTTCTCATATGAGATATATACACACATATATAAATATGTATGTACATTAAATGTATACATACCTGTGATATATACTTTAATTTCTAACATGATATAGACATACGCACATATGGTAAAACAAAAAGTTATAAACATAAACAAAATTACTTTAGGGTCCTCAATAATTTTTGAGAGTAATATAATTTTTGAAATCAAGAAGTTTGACAACCACTGGCTTAAACAAGAGGGGCCCCAGGACAATTATCTCACCTCTATTTTATCTTAGATGTTCTACACAGCCAAAAAAGAAAAATAATGGTGAATGCATGTTTGGGAGATAGAAGGGCCAGGATCAGCAATTCCAAATATGGTTTGAAGAGAAAAAAACACTGGAATATCTTTCTCCCTCCTCTCTCATGTCAATATCCTCCTAATGCTCACATAAAAACAGGAAAGGGTTTAAGAGGTGAAAACCTAGGAGGTGAAGAACAGAAGAAACATTACAGGACGGGGGATGGTCCTCTAGTCAGAAGAGGAACTAAATGCAACCAGAACTCTACCATTCTGCTGCCAAAATACCCCCCTGAACATGCTACATCTATCTTATTAGCCTTAGGGTCAGCTACCTGTCCATTAAAGCACTCTCAGAGGCTCATCTTGGTGCACTGTTAGCCACAGAGACTAGGAATTTCCTGGGAAGGAGAGGACATGGTTTTTAGTCCCCTATCTTCTCTCTCTGCAACTCCATTTTGGCTCTCGTTGACCTGTGCTTCTAAGAGCCCTTTTTACTCATGAACCTCAGATGATATCACTCATGCTCAAAAACATGCTTGTATATGAAACAAGGATTTTTGTTTGTCACTGGAGGTTGACTTTCTGTTTTGTTTTGTTTTAGACGTTTATGGTGCTGAACAAAGGGAGGACCATTTTCCGGTTTAGTGCCACTCGGGCCCTGTGGCTATTTAGTCCTTTCAACCTGATCAGAAGAACGGCCATCAAAATATCTGTCCACTCATATCCTTTGCACAATTATTTCTTCCACATGTTAGAACCAGGCTTTGTGTACTGTGTCTTGTACCTTCTGTAGAGATTAACAACAGAGACTTCCTCTAATTGAATCTCAAGACAACAAAGTCACTGTATTGAAAAAATTGTTTGTGGTTAATGTGTCCAACACCCCCAAAGCAGTCCCAAGTCACAGAGGAAGTGTTCATGCAGTCCACGTGGTTCAGGTTCACCTCAGGCTAATTTGGGCACATCTGTGGATGCACAACTTGAAACATGTCCTCTTTATGAGGGAAGGTTTGTTGATGTCCCAGAGCACATTCTCACCATGGTGTGTGGTCTGCTGTCCTCACAACATAGCAGCTAGTAAGAGGCCCCCAGAGCTTTTCTTTGGCAAATGAAATAGACATGGGCTGTTACTCTGTGCCATGGCTATGCTGGGGAATGGCTGTTTATTGGCAAAAGAGAAGCACTTCCCAGAGGGCAAGGAAAACAGACCATGACGGGCAGAACATACATTGTCTCAGTGGGACCTCATTGGTCACTGCCAACATCATAAGTTACTCTAAAACTACCAGCAGGTTAAAAATGTTAGTAGTCTAAGGTTCATGACAAACTGAAATGTAACAATTGAAGACATATTAGTCAAATGTCTGTATTATGTCCATTGCTTTAGGTAGCACCAGAGGATGTTTTGGGTTTTTTTTTCCCAAAGAAGCCCACACTCGTAGAAAAAAGAGACTTTGGCTTGGTTTCCAAGGATTGTCCCTAGTGATCCTAATGGAAGAATCCTAATAATCTAAGATCCTTGGTCATTAGAAGGACTGGAAATTCTTAATGACAAATTCAGCCCTGGCTTTCAGAAAGTTGATGTATAAGAATAGCCTTCAGCCAGGTGTGGTGGCTCACACCTGTAATCCCAGAACATTGGAAGTTGGAGGCAAGAGGATTGCCTGAGTCCAGGGGTTGAAGATCAGCCTGGGCAACTTGGTGAGACCTCATTTTTACAATAAGTGAGAAACATTAGCCAGGCATGGTAGCACGCACCTGTTTCTCCAGCTTCTTGGAAGGCTGAGGTAGAATTGCCTCAGCCCAGAAGGTCGAGGTTGTGGTGGCCACGAGCATGCCATTGCACTCCATCCAGCCTGGGTGACAGAGTAAGACTCCAACTCAAAAAAAAAAATTAACCTTGCTTCAGTTGCCTGACAGATGATAGCCAGCCTCTTCTTAGAAGTCTCCCATAAAGAGAAGCTTTCCCAACCCTCTAACTCTGAGGTAGCTTGTTGGAGTGCTGGACAATTCTCATTGAGTTAGTAACCCTTGCACAGTCGTCTGCACACTCAACAAAAAATAGCACTGCTTGATGAAATTGCATTACATTTTACCTTTCCATCTTTTTTTCCACATAGCTAAGAATGACACTTTCTAAGTTGAATCTTGAATTTCAGACTTTACAGAAGGATATTTAATGATAATAACAGGCTACCACTTGCTAAATACTTTCTACGTGTCAACATTGTCAAAGGTACAGAAGCCTCTGAAGCAGAGATTAGTATCCCCATTTTACAGACACTGAAACTGGCATGCAGAGGCATTAAGTAAATTGTTCAAGGTCACACAGCTAGTTAAGAGGCCCAGCCTGCATCCTGCTTAGAGCAGTATCTATAGTGAGGAAATAGGCAGTTAATGGAAATGAATTAGGGTAATTATCCTCTCACTGTGTCATCTCTACTTGGGTAGTTGCTGATTTTTAAAATATATATATATACAATTACACAAAAATTACAAATAAAGAGAAATAGCAAATATACAGGCTCCTTTTTATGGACTCTGGTTGAATTACATACAGACAAGAAACATATACATAAGAAACAATTAATTACATATACATAAGAAACAATTAATTTGAAATAAAATTCCATTAAAAGAGCCAAGTGACCAGTGAATATTCTTTTCATCTTAAGATTTGATGAGTAAATAATCACTTGGTGGAGTCACAGCTGGACAGAAAAGCTGTTGAGGGATCTCCTCCTCACAAAAGCCTGCATTTAAATCTTATGAATTTAGTAACTCCAGCCCCAAAAGATACTCTTCAAGGTATAGAATTCTCAGGATCCTGTTGTTAATATTTCACCAAAATTGTAATTCCAATCACATTTGCTATAAATGTTTTCATAAGTATTGTTATACATAAAATATCATATTACCTTTAAAGGTTTATAGAATTGGAGATATGATTTTGATTTAATCCTTGGGTTAGTAACCCCCCCCATGTGACCATATTTCTTAATTTAATTGTAAGGCAGCAGGAAAATGTGGATTAATTAATAGAATTTTCCTTTTCAAAATAGATGTGTTCCTAAGTAACTGTAAAACAAGGAACATTAAAGGCACTTACAGAAAACTAAAATAGATTTATAAACTTCTGCTCAAATTGAAATTATGAAAGAACAGTGTTATACTCTTTCCGCAGGTCAAACTTATCTTCAAGTTTTGTTTTTCTTCAGGAAGTATTGTGAAGAGCCCGGCTAGTCCTGAGAAAAATGTCCCAAGGGAAAACATTTATCTTTGGATATTTGTCCCTTCCACTCACCTTCCTTTCAGGTCTCCCTTCCCTTCTGGTGAACCCTTTGCCCGTTCTCTGCTTCTAATATTCTCCTCTCTGGCTATTCAGAGTTCTCCACTAAAGCCTAATTCTATTTGGAATTTTCTTCTTGAGCCAGTATTTCACTTCTCTGTGCCTGCCTCTACCATTCCTAGCCTGAAGTTCATTTCTTCACTGTGACTAATATAAGTAAAATTAGGAAAGCAATCTGATTAAACCAATTTCCATGAAAGCTGGTACCCTTCCACTTATCTCTAACTAACTTCTCTTTGTGTTTTAGTCATTTGTTTGCTTATTTATTTATTTTGAGTTGGCTTCTCACTCTGTCACCCAGAATGAAGTGCAGTGAGTGGCATGGTCATGGCTCACCCCAGCCTTGACCTCCTGGGCTCAAGCAACCACCTGTCTTAGCCTCCCAAGTAGCTGGGACTACAGACATGTGGCACCACAGTAGCTACTTTAAAATTTTTTATTTATTTATTTTTTTGTAGAGATGAGGTCTCACTATATTGCCCAAGCTGGTCTTAAACTCCTGGGCTCAAGCAATTCTCCTGCCTCAGCCTTCCAAAGTGCTAGGATTACAGGCATGAACCACCACACCTAGCCTTCTTTGTTTTTTAGAATAAAAAAGACATATCAGGCTGAAATTTCAGGCTCCCTTGTGTAGTGAAATGAAGACTTCAGAGCAAAATGGCGTTTGGGAAAAGGAATTCTATTTCCTTCCATCTTTCTCAGGATTTCTTATCAAACAGATCTGAGCTCGCATCTCAGCACCAAGGTTGACTAGTCGTATGACCTTGGAAAAGTTATTTATGCTCTGTCAGCCTGTTTTCTCATCTCCAAAATGTAAATAATAATATTCACTTATAGGTTAGTTATGTTTAAAAAAAATAGTGAAACAAAGTACTAAGCTCAGTTTAGGCACTCAGTAAATGTTAGCAGTTATAATGTGACAAGACCACAAATTGATATTAGCTAAGAGTTATGAACTTGATCTTTCAGCATCAAAGTGACCTTAGATGACATCAGAGAAACACGGTGACTCTCAGATTTTCCTTAACACAAGTTTCTCAGGTGGTTCAGTTCATTTATTACACTCACTATTTTGATCAATTGTGTGTGCATGACCCAAACTGAACTTCCAGAGAAAATTGAGTGAGTAGATTTTTCTATCATTATTGTACCTTTTCCCTTTGTCCTCTTCTCTTCCTCTTTCACTTGGTGGTCTTTGTCTTTAATTTATCCTGTTGGTCTCACATGAGTAATGCTGAACCCTGTTGTCTATTTGTCTTTGTAATGATTCGTTTTTTCTTCTGTAGACTTTGTTTCATAAACTTACATAGGACTTCGTGCTTCAAGGAGTTACAGATCAGTGGTTCTCAACTTTGGCTGCATGTTGGAATTCCCTGGGGAGATTTTTAATATATTGATGCCTGAGTCCCAGCACCAGAGGGTCTAATTTTACTGGTCTGGGGTGGCCTGGGCAGATGAGTCCCTCCACCTAAAACACACACTCACACTTACCTGCTAGGTGCACACATGAAAGAAGTTTAGGGAAGACCTACTTTGAAAGAGAGTCAGGAGCAAAATTAAGACAGAACTAAGAACAAATGACTGGAATATATTCAGAAAATTGTTCATAAATGAAGCTGCCTGAGTTATCTTAGCTGATGTTTCAAAGTGACCTAAATATTCCTGAGATTATTCTATTTCCCTAGGCTAGAAGATGAAACCTTTGTAGTTTCAGAATATGAGGCCTTTCCAAAAATGTCCTGTACCAACACATCTGGGAGAGATGCCCCCATCCCAGCTTGAGCCTGACATACCGTCAGATGTAAGAGCTCTGCAAAGCTTTCTTTTTCCAACTTTTTTTTTTTGCTAACTATACTGTAATACATGCCGTTATACAGAAAATACATTCTATTAATAGATTAAGGTAGAAAAATTATGTAGTCATCTTAACTAATACTGAAAAATCATTTGATAAAGTTCAATTTTCATTTATGATTTCAAGCCCTCAGAAAAGTTGGAATAGAAAGGAATTGCCTCACACTGATAAAGGATATTCTTTTTTTTTTTTTTTTGAGTAGCAAACATCATACCTGATTGTGAACATGGGAAACCTTTTCTGTGAGATCACAAGAAAAAAGGCAAATATTTCTGATCTCTTCAGTTCAACTTTTTTTTTTTTTGAGTTGGAGTCTCACTCTGTTGCCCAGACTGGAGTGCAGTGGCCGCTCCCAGTCACCGCAGCCTCGACCTGCTGGGCTCCGGCGATCCTTCCGCCTCAGCCTTCCAAGTAGCTGGAACTACAGGCGCACACTACCATGCCCAGCTAATTTTTTATTTATTGTAGAGATGAGGTCTCGCCAAGTTGCCCAGGCGGGTCTCAAACCCGCAGGCTCAGGCAATCCACTCACCTCGGCCTCCCAAAGCACTGGGATAGTTCAACTTTTTTAAGGTGGTCTTAACCGGGGTAATAAGGTAAGGAAAAGAAATTAAAAATGCAAGAAAAGAAAAGTGCCAAAGATGTAATTTACAGATAATAAGGTTGTGTATATAAACTATCCAACATAATCTAGAGATAAAATATTAGATTTAGTAAGAGAGTATAGTAAGGTCACTGGGTGCAAATTAATACACATAAAGCAACTGCAAATCAATATACTCACAACAAACAGAAAATAAAATAGTTTTCACAAATACTATTCACACTGGCATTTTAAAAGATCAAATATCTAGGAATAAATTATCAAACTATGAGTGAGATCTCTACAAGAAAAATTATAAGTATTGTGTAAAAGCTTTTTATAACCAAATAAGTGGAGAGGTATATTATATTCTTGGATTCAAAGTCTCAATATTATAAAGACTCCCCAAAATGACTAATAAACTTACTATGATCTCAAAATCAAAATTTCAACAGGCTTTTTAAAATGTTATTGACAAACTGACTCTAGAATTTACATGAAATTACAAAGAACAAATTATAGCCAAGACACTTTTGAGAAAGAAAAACAAAGTGGGAGAACTCACTCTAATGGATGTCAAGATTTACTATAAATCTCTAATAATTGAAGCAATGTGCCATTGGTGTAAGATTGCTCAGAACGGTGCAACAGAATAGACAGCCCATAAAAAGACCAACATACATACAGACATTTCATGTGTAATAAAGGTCACATCACAGAGCAGTGGGGGAAGGGCACTCTTTAGTAAATGATGCTGAAGACGTAGGTATCCCAATACAAATACTGCATTGAGCATCCAACTTCAGGTCACACAGAAAAATCATTTCTAGGTAGGTTAACATCTCACTTACTTTGTGAAATACAAAGATGTAAAGCTTTTAGTATTAAAAAAAAACAAAGGAAAATATCTTTATGACCTCAGGCTAGGGAAAGCTTTATTACACATAACACAAGAAGCACTAACCATAGAGAAAAAGATGGATACATTATTGTACACTAAAATTAAGAATATCTGTTCATCAGAACACAACTTTAAGATAGTGAAAGGGCAAGCCTATAGAGTAGGAAATATCTGCAACACACATGTCTAAAAAGTGCTTATATCCAAGGTAATGAATCCCTACAATCAATCAGAAAAATGTCAGAGAAACCAATTATAAAATGAGCAAAAAATCGAATACACACTTCACAAAAGTAGAAAGCCAAATGACCAATCGACACATAAAAGTATGTGTAAAATTGTTTTTAAATCAAGGAACTATAAATTTAAATCACACTGAGAGATTTTTACACATTCATTATATGAGGAAAATGCTTAAGTGTGACAATACCAAGTATTGGAGAGGATATGGAACCACAGAAACTCATACACTGCTGGTGGGAATGTAAATTTGGACAACATCTTTGGAAAGCAGTGACTATTATCTAGTAAAGATGAAGACACACATATATGGTATTCCTCTAGTTATACTCTTAGGTGCCTATGCTCAACGGAAATATCAGCTTGTGGGCACCAGGATACAGCCACAAGAAAGTTTATGAACCTTACCTGTAAAAACCTCAAACTGAAAACAACCCAAATGTCCATAATCTTTGAATACATTAACTTTTTCTGTTATGTTCTAAAATGAGTTAATGTACAGCAACGAAAATGAATAAACTGTAGCTCTGTACAAAGATGAGTCTTAACATAATAGTAAACCAAAACAACAACAAACAAATTTACCTATGTATGACTCATTTACACAAATTTCAAAATCGAGCAAAACTAAACTATTTTGTTTAGGGATGCATACTTAGGAGGTAAAAATATAAATAAAGTAAGGCAAGAAAAAATGCCCAGAATTGGGAGAACAGTGGCCTCTAAGGCAGAGGAAGGAGAATGAATTGGGAAGGAGCGTGTGAAGAGCTCCTCATGTTCTATTTTATGACATGGGTAATTTGTCACACAAGCTGCTATGGACGGAATTGTGTCCCCTTAAAATTCATATGTTGAAACTCTAGCCTCTCCATGTTACTGTGTTGGAGACAGGGCCTTTAAAAAGGTGATTGAGGTTAGTTAAATCAGGTATCAAAGGTGGAACCCTTATCTGAACAGGTGCCCTTATGAGAGAAAAAGACACCAGAGTTTTCTTCCCTTCGTGTGAGGACACAGGGAGAAGGTAGCCATCTACAAGCCAGAAAGAAGGTCCTCATCAGACCCTAACTATGCTGACAGTTCAGAATTCCAGCTTCCAGAACTGTGAGAAAATAAATGTCTGTTTTTTTAAGGTACTCAGTCTATAGTATTTTGTTATGATAGCTAGCCTGACTGATATATGAGCATTTACTTTAAAATAACTAGTTTATGTTTCATCTACATTTTTATTATGCATCTACATATCATAATAAAAAACTTAAAACAAAATAATTTTTACAAATAAATGAAGCATAAAATGCAGAATACTGAAAATATAAATCAGAAGATGGCAATCAGGTAAATAAATTATACAATTTGGAAATCATTTACTATAGCTAAGATAACATAGCATATAAAGTTTCCATCCTTCTGAACTTTTGATGCAGAGCATTTTATCTCATAATGAGTTATTTGGAAGTTACTTGGGGAGTATGGTTAAATATGGAAAATAGCATGCATATGTTTTATGCCACCTCAAAATGCCAATAAAATGATAGCATGGAATAAGAACAGCATAAATATACAAGAACAAAGAGATGGAGAAAGGAAAACACAGGGGACAAATGACGTCAAAACTATTTTGGAAAAGCAAAAATGGATGGAGGCGTGGGAAATCACTTAGCAGATCAGGGCTTGTTAAACCACAGAGCCTGCAGAGGGGGATAAAAATGAGAATAAAGGCATCTTACCCCCTGTAAACCCTAGAGGCTCTGCAAGTGTTGACATGATACAAATAGCAAAAACTGGAAGCAAAAAGAGGAAAGAGCGTGGGAGCAGAGTATGTTCACTTACTGCTACTTCCACAATAACAAGAAGTTAAAGCTTATTCTTTAAATTTGATAAATCAAGAATTGGAAAAAAATAATTCTATCCAACAGTACAATGGTAAGCATGAAAATATATTATTAAATAGAATCAGATGATGGATAAAACAGAGGGGAAAGAGAATAAACAAATGAAAACAAGAGGTTGCTTTTAAAAATAGGCTGGGCACAATGCCTCACACCTGAAATCCCAGCACTTGGGAGGCAAAGAGGGAGGATTGCTTGAGGCCAGGAGTTCGAGACCAGACTGGGCAGCATACCAAGACCTTGTCTTTACAAAAAAATAAATATTTAGCGGGTGTGGTTGCACGTACCTGTAGTCTCAGCTACTAGGGAGAATGAGGAAGGTGGATCCCTTCAGTCCAGGAATTTGAGGTTGCAGTGAGCCATGTTCATGCCACTACGCTCCAGTCTGAGTGACACAGGGAGACTTCAACTCAAAAATAAAGAAATAAAGAAATAGCACATTAAGGGCAATGTATTAAGGAATTGCAGAGTTTTAGTTTATAGTTATAAATTTAAAATATGTTTATACTTATAAGGACAACCACTAGAACAAAAATACAAACTCTTCTAAATATTGGAAGAGGTGTATACAAAAGCAAAGCACATCAGATAAGAAAATATTTTTAAAACTATTAAATACATAGCATAAAGTAACAAGCAAAATGACTAAGTGAA